AGGTGAATATACTGAGGAAAAGAGATGAAACTTGCTCAAACCCAGTGCTTCTCAAAAAACATTTTTAAAGAACTATTTATTTAATTTTAGTTATCATTATTATTTTTAAGTTTGCTACAGGGCCCATGCACTCACCAGAGAGAGCAGGGGCGTGGGAGAGGGGTGTGAGAAAGCAAGTCCCCAGGTATGGGATTTGAACTGTGGTCACCCATGTGAAAGTCCAGTGCCTTAAACACCACATCACCTACTGGCCTCATTTCTTACATTTTAATGTGTTAGAGGAACAAAGTCAGCCATGGGGGGTGGGTCAGCCATTGGCATGGTGGTTAAAGTGGCTGGATCTCACATGACTGACTGCACAGTTCAAGTTCCTGGACCCAGTGTTTTGAAAAACACTCCAGGTGCGTGTACATGCATCCCCAAAATCCCCAAAAGAGGGAGAAATGGAGGAAAAGGGATTGCAGCATGACTGTCCCCCATGGGAGGCTGCTTTCTTTTTTTCTTTTTATCTTTTTTAGGAGAGGTTTTTGCTATAGGGTGCGTATGCTCGCCAGAAAGACAGAGAGAGACAGAGAGATAGAAAGTGAGAAATCACTCCCCAGGGGAATGGCCACACTGCAATCCCTTCTCCTCCATTCTCCTCTCAAGATCCTGGACACGCACGCACATGCACCCGTCATGAGTTTAAGCCTCCAGGTCCGGGACTTGAACCATGGTCGACAACATGGGAGTCCAGTGACATAGCCATTACGCTAACTGCTGGTCCCAGGGAGGCTGCTTTCTCACTTCCCCTTTCTCTCTCTCTCTTGCTGTCTGGTGAGTGCATGCATGCTCTAGCAAATTTTTTTTTTTTGAGAGGATTTTGCTATATGGCATGTGTGCTCGCCAGACAGTCAGAGAGAGACAGAGAGACAGAAAGTGAGAAATCACCCCCTGGGGAGGATGGCCACGCCGCAATCCCTTCTCCTCCATTCTCCTCTTGGGATCTTGGGCACACACGCACACGTGCCCAGCATGAGTTTAAGCCACCAGGTCCGGGACTCGAACCCAGTCAACTACATGGGAGTCCAGCAACATAGCCATTACGCCAACTGCTGGTCCCACAAAATTTTTTAAAGAGAGAGCAGCTGGGTTCTTGTTAAACTGCAGATGCTGAGTCAGTAGGTCTGGGTGGGAGGTCCTGCACTCCTCGCCACCGCTAAGCTGTGCTGCTATTGACGGTCCAGACCACACTAAGTAGTGAGGCTCCAAACCACAGTCACTACACAGAAACAGCAGGCCTAAGCCCCAGCCCCTAGCCACTGATGACGTGGCTCCTCACAGGAATCCTCTGAATGACTCATAAACCCATGAGAATTTCACATCTGCATCTCCTGTGAGAGAGACTGCAAGGACCACGAGCCTCAAGAACCCAGCCCCGTTTGAAACTTGACGGACCGCATTGCTGTCAGATGATACCTACATGGGGAACTGAGCCCCAGAGAGGGAAGTGGGCAGCACTGGCTTCTCCCTCCCTGCTTCCCCAGCCTCCATTTCCTGCCCTCCCAGCATAGAAGCCTGGACTTTTGTTTAGGTGTGGCTCAGTACCATTCCCGCTATGGTGGTCTGGGTGGAGCTTCAATATCAGGGAACTAAGGATGAAGCATGTGCTCTAGGCCTGGCCAATTACTGCAGTGCATCTCTCCCCCTCCAAAACAATTGGCTCAGGCACAGACATGTGACCTGAGGCAGGTCCAATCAGGAACGTTGTGCAAGGAGCTACCTGAAGGCTCTCACTGCGGGGTTGAAGATACAGGGATGTGACAACAAAATGAGAGGGAAAGAAGGAGAAGGGACGATTTTGCTCCCAAGAGTACATCTGGTGGAGATATATTTTGTTTTTGCAAAAGTAAGGGAGACTTGCATCTAGTGGGCAGAGGCCAGGGATGCTGCCAGCCATCTCCAATGTACAGGACAGCCTCGTAACAGAGACTCGTCCAGTCCAAATGGCAGAAGTGCTGCAGTTGAGACCCCTGGGCCAGAGATTCTGCAATGATCTTGTCCCCAAGGAAGAGAACCTGGAGCTGCCACAGGCCACTTAATGGAGCCTGAGCTTGGACCTGACAGTAGAAGGTGGAGCCAGAAGATGGAGAGAAGCTGAGTACGGGGGGTACGTGAGCCCTAAATCTCCCTGTGCCTGAAGCCAGATCTGCTCTTGGACTTTCCATTTTGTAGCTCAAGGAGTGACTTTTGGGCTTAAGTCCCTTTGGATGAAGTTTTGTGTCACTTTCAAAATCTCAGTGATGAGATGAAGCAGACCGGGCCTGTTCCTCTCCCTGTTTTGCATACAAACAAACCCCAGGGTGATTTGCCCAAGGTCACACTGCAAGTTCATGGTGAGTGCCAAACTAGTATTTGTTCCGTGACCTCAGGTGGGGCCAATCTTATTTTTACATTAAAATAAACACAGATAGGCAGAATGCCAAATTCACATAGGCTTTGAAGATAAAGTATGAGACTCAGTACTAGTCTGTTGCTGTACTGTAACACCCACGGACTATAGGGAGTTTGGGGAGAGTTGGGGCTAGAACCCTGGACTTCTGACATCCAGCTCAATGGGATTCTGCAGCCCAATCTCCCTCACCCGCACATGCCCCTTGGGGAATTACAAAATTCTTTTGTACCCATGTCTTGCCCATGCAACAATCCTGCAGCCCAGGCCGGGATCTTGTATCTAGGAAACTAAGGCCCAGAAGGTAAGAGACATGGCCAGGCCATGATGTTCAAAGCTGACTGAGCAAGGATCTGATCCCAGGTCTTAAGAGTTGAGGTCTGCGGGGCCAGCAGGTGGCGTGGTGAAGGTGCTGGATTCACATACGGCTGATGGCAGTTTGAGTCCCAGACCTGGTGGCTTGCTTTCTCACTGTTCCTCTCTCTCTCTGGTCAAATTTTTAGAAATAATGATTATAATAAATAAAAGTAAATAAGTATTTTTTTTAAATAGTTGAGGTCTGCTTTTTTTATTATTATTATTCAGAGGTTTTTTGGCTTAGGGCACGTGCACTCGCTGGAGAAAGAGAGACAATGAGAGGGAAAGTGAGAAGTTGTCCCCTGGGGGGGAATACCTTCTCTTCCTGGGATCTTGGGCGAGCACACACACATGCCGGGCATGATTTTCAAGCCACCGGGTCTGGGACTTGAACTGCAGCTGGCCATGTGTGCGACCAACAACGAAACCACTGCACCATCTGCTGGCCCTGAGGTCTGCTTTCTCTCCTGCTTTTCTGGCTGGGTCCGTGGAGTTTGTCGTCACAGCGCTGGCTGTCTCATAAGCTCCCAGCCTGTCTGGTACCAGGCCCTGCCCACAAGCACACAGGGCGAAGGTCTCATGAAGAGCAAGAAAGGAAACCCTGCCCCTTTCTCCATCTCCCCTCACACTCCAACCAAGGGCTTGTGGCACTGATTCAGGATGCCCTTTCCAGTGGCATCAAGTAATAGCTTTGGAATCAGACCAACCTGGGTTCGAATCCCCATTCTGCCACTTAGAAGCTGTGATCTTGGGCAAGTCGCTTTACTTCTCTGAACCTCAGCTTCCTTACCTGAAATAAGGGGCACTCCTGCAGGGTTTTCTAAGGCTTACAGTACATAACAGATGTGAATGTGTCTAACAGTTACGTGGCGATGGTCAGCGTCAGTTTGCCTCTGTTTGCTTCCCTTTCTAAGAAGTACTGCTTTGACCCCACTTGGAAGATGAAGCTATTGGGGGAAGTACAAACTGAAATTGTCTTAGGGGCAGACAACAAAATACACCTTGATCCATCCCAACGTAGCCCTCCTCTACCAATATTCTCCTTGGCCCAATCACAGGGCTGCCAAATCCCAATGGCGTGGGTCCGTCCCACCCTTCTCCAATGTAAGGATGTTCTCCACATTCTCCAGATCCTTACCACGATGCTGTAAGATGGGCCACACACACAGTTTTCTCCATTTCACCAATGGGCAGCCCTAGGCCTAGAGACTTACAGACTTGCCCAAGGCCATAGCAGGCCATGGGAGCTTAGAATGGGCTTTCTCACCCTCAGCATCAGTGCCTTTGGAGGCAGGATGAGCCCTAATGGTCCTATATACCGGAGGAGTCACGGGTATCTACCCACTTGGTGCCAAGTGCACCCCAGTCCCAGCCATGACAATCAAAAATGTCTGCAGACATTGTCAAACAAATGTCCCTGAGGGCTAACTAGCCCCATTAAGAACCACTGGTCTTGGGACCAGCAGATGATGTAATGGTTACGACTCCCATGTAGTTGTCCGTGGTTCAAGTCCTGGACCCGGAGGCTTAAACTCATGCTGTGCATGTGTGCATGAGTGCCTAAAATCCCAAGAGGAGAATGGAGAAGGGAAATCCCAAGAGGAGAATGGAGAAGGGATTATGGCATGGCCATCCCCCCTGGGGAGTGATTTCTCACTTTCTCTCTCTCTGTCTCTCCAACGAGCACACACACCCTATAGAAAAAAATCTCTCAAAAAAAAAAAAAAAAAAAAACACAAGGACCAAACAAG